TTCATATATCTGTGACATACAAAAAAAATCTAATCCAACTGAAAAAATGCCATTGAATTTTAGGTTTTCTTAAATAATGTGAAATTGATAAAAGTGTAAATATTCCTGAATATTTTTTTTCTGTCACAGACCTGGCATTTACTCATTACTTCATTGTGCTACTGGGCTCTTTTGTCTCAACATGAAATAACAAGATTTTTTTTTTTTACACAGTATGGACTATTGCTTGATGTGAAATATTATATTTCTCTCATTACATAATCTTCTATAATATTAAATACTGTCTTCTGTCTAGCAGTTGGAAAATAATAATTCTCCTTGTTAATCTTTTCATGTTGGAGAGAGATGGTAAATTATATATTTTCTTCACAGCTAATCAAATGGCCACTTTACAGAAAGATGCAATAATGCTAAAATATTCATATTGTCAAATTTTCTTCTATACTCATAAAATTGAATGCTCTCCTCCTTGGCCAGCGAAGGTTTTAGGGGGGCATTGGGACAGGTATTGATGATGGAGCGATGCATAACTTATGTGTTGTGGTTATAAACATGTTTTGTTTTAATCCCAGGTGCGGGATGTGGGACTGACTGAGATGGTTCACAGCAGCATTTGCCTCCTGTGGGTTCTGAGAGGAGCTCTTTGCCAGGTGTAGATACTTTAAACTTGAGGACACTGGAGAGAGAATAAATGCCTAGCCCAGAGAGTGCAAAGGAGCTCCAAGAAAGAACAGGGCTGCTAGTGATTCCCCATGCTTCTCCTGTTGCTGTTGATATGGTGAGACAAGAAATTGGAGATCTCCTGAAAAAAGGATTAGGCTGGCTCCAAGGAACCCAATGATCCTAACCATCAGGAAGCATCTCAGAAAGAGAACTGAGCCCCCTCTCCCATATCCCTTTCTCTCTTCTACCTGGTGTTGGGGTGTTAGAAGGGATTGGGGTGGAATAGGGAGAAAGAGATATTATAAATATAAATAAGAGTTTTAAAAAAGTAAGCCAGCACTGATGAAAATGCTGAGAAAAGCAGACTAATGTGCAGCCCTTTATAGAAATCTATATTACCCTCACCCCTGAAAACTACCACTAAGCCTCAGCAAACATTGCAGTAGGGGAGACAGAAGCTAAGATTCACAGGGTTAGGAGTACAGTGAAATACAGTCTTCTGGGCATGACATGGTGGTCACACTTAATAAATGGCCAGCATTTAGGATACCATGCCACACACAATCTTGGAGTTGATGGGTAGGTGATTGCTAGGCCCCTAGGATCGCTAGGAGTTTCTGACAGTGGATATAGAGAGTTACTGGGGAAGATAGAATAACTTTTTTTTTTAAGGATATGGGCACTGGTAGGTTTTCCATGCTCCAGTGAATGACATCACTCCCTTGTACATATGAGTTGTACAACCTGGACTTAAAGGATTGTTAAAGAAATGATGGAGTTGGGAGGGGACATGCTTATGGTGATATGGAGGGAGTGGAATGGAGAGATTGGGATAGCTATGATAATATTGATTGTGCACATATGTGAAATTCTCAAAATATAAAGGAAAAGTTAAAAAAGCCTCTTGGACACGTTAGTTTCTTCCTAATGCAAGTGTCAAAAGTGTCAATAAAAGTGTCAAGCTTAAATGCTATCGCTGTGAGGCACTGTGGTGCGACAAGCGTGAGAAACTGTAAAACGTTGCCGTAGGATAATCAGAGTGGAGCTGTTTTCCAGAGCTGTGACAACCTGATGCCGACGCATTAATGTCAGAGAAAAGATGATATCAGCATTCACGTATGTCAGAAACCCTCGGTGGCAAGTAAACATTTTGTTGTGTAGACATATGGCAAAAGTCCTGCATATGGTACTCTCTAAGTGATGCAATACATGGGGGAAGTCTAAAAAGTAATTGTCCTATTTAAACAAATATTTTTCTTGTTAGTGGGTGTAATCTACTTCCTAGAAGGCAAACATAGACTAATATACTGCTCCAACTTATGTTAAGCCAACCTTAATCTCTAGAATGATGAATTCTAGAGATGGGGTAATGATATTGATATGGAAACTTGTTTTGTCTGAATGCAAACCTACATGGTTCTAACGGAAGAATGCATCTGTTGTAGCACATTTCTTTCTACTCTGATCCAGAAACTATGCTGAGTATAGGCATACTGACTGAAGCACAACTATCTTAGTTTCCTCTCCCTGATTATTGGCAGGAAAATTATTTATGTTGGAAGGTCAGATGTAATGTAAGGTCCTGAAATTTTACCCTGTGATACAGCACTAACAGAGTAAAGAAAATATATTACCATGTTTGGGTAAAGTAGAGAGGTTCTAGCCTTATAAAAGTCTTAACTATTACAGAGGTCAGGGTTTCATCTATTTTCTTGTATTCACTTTTGTTCTGGAGTCAGATATTAAAAACAAATAATGTAGAAGGCACAAGTGTACACATTTTATATGTACACAAGGTGGATTTGGAGCACAGGGATAGCAGCTTTACTCATGAGAATTATAACATAGAATTAGCATTAAGTGGGAATAAATATGTATTTTCTTTTTTTATTAATTATACTTTATTCACTTTGTATCCCCCCCCATAAGCCCCTCCCTTTTCCCCTCCAGATTCCACCCTCCCACCCCCTTCTTCACGCATGCCCCTCCCCAAGTCCACTGATAGGGGAGGTCCTTTCTCCTTCCTTCTGATCTTAGTCTATCAGATCTCATCAGGATGGATTGTCATCTTCTGTGGCCTGGTAAGGCTGCTCTCCCCTTAGGGGGAGGTGATCAAAGAGCAGGCCAATCAGATTATGTCAGAGGCAGTCCCTCTTCCCATTACTATGTAACCCACTTGGACACTAAACTGCCATGGGCTACATCTGTGCAGGGGTTCTAGGTTATCTCCATGCATGGCACTTGGTTGGAGTACAAGTCTCTGGGAAGACCCCTGTGTTCAAATTTCTGGTTCTTTTGCTCTCCTTGTGGAGTTCCTGTCCTCTCCAGATCTTACTATTTCCCACTTCTTGCATAAGATTTCCTGCACACTGCCCAACAGTTGGCCAACAGTCTCAGCATCTGCGTTGATAGTCTGCAGGGCAGAGCCTTTCAGAGGCCCTCTGTGGTGGGTTTCTAGCTTGTAATTTCTTAAACTTGGCAATTACATGAGTTTTCTTTAGCAGTGAGCAGTTGCGACCATTGGGAGATAAGCAATACTCAATGATGGGTTCACAGAGACCAAGCTGGTGAGAGGCTGAGAAACCCTGTGTTTTATTAAATATTCAGAGTCACAAAGTTGGTTTACATGACAAAAATCCTTTATGTTCATGTGTATGACCCATCAGCATTTCAGTCGTTAGGAGATTCTCACAGACATGCTATGTGAATTTATGTTATTATTCTCCATACAGCTCAGTTTATGTTCTGGGGACTGCTGAATAGATTATAATCTTAAGAAATCAAAGTGTAAGCCACTTGGACACTAAACTGTCATGGGCTACATCTGTGCAGGGGGGAAGAGGGACTGCCTCTGACATAAACTGATTGGCCTGCTCTTTGATCACCTCCCCCTGAGGGGGGAGCAGCCTTACCAGGCCACAGAAGAAGACAATGCAGCCATTCCTGATGTGATCTGATAGACTAAGATCAGAAGGAAGGAGAGGAGGACCTCCCCTATCAGTGGACATGGGGAGGAGCATACATGAAGAAAGAGGAGGTAGGGTAGGACTGGGAGGGGAGGAGGGAAAGGCTTATGGGGGGATACAAAATGAATAAAGTGTAATTAATAATAATAATAATAATAATAATAATAAAAGAAAAAATCTACAAAAACTTTGGTGTTAAAAAAAAAGAAATCAAAGTGATTTTTAAAAAATGTGACCACAACCATTTATAGCTTCCATGAAAAATTTCCTATGAAATCCATTACTATAAACATTGAATATATAAAAATAAAAAAGTAAAGAAAATAGTAAATTCTATAAATTAAAATGCTCAGTCTATTAAAACTTGTATGACTGAAGACACAGCTATGAAATCCAGTTATATTAAGAATTTAAATTTTGTCATATGAAAAAACAAATTCCCTGAAGTGGTTATACTAAAATTTCAAATTAATAGAGAATACTTTAGTGTTTCCACATTCTCTATATAGCATGAAAGAGATAACCAGAGTCTTAGATTTGCTCTAGAAAGTCAGTGCCAATCACATTTCAACTATACTTATCTTTCTGTGTTCTTAGATTCATTATAATTTATAGATGATAGGGAATCTAAGATCCCTTTTCGTGAAGAAAGGAAGTGAATGGATACTGTGCTCAGCCATGCTTGTAGTATCTGGTTATTTTCTGATCCTTATTTATAGAAGGAAACTTGATTGTTTTCCCTCAAATGATTAGAATAAACTCTCTGTGCATGGTGCTTGAGAAACCCTGTCTCCAAAGCAGGGGACAGGTATGTGTGGCTGATACAGAAAAGTTTTAAGAATGCATTTGCCATAGTAGGTTTAGTTTTGGAATGAGGCATTTACGTCTAGAATGGTATATTTTCTAGTTTCACTCACACAGTAAGGTAAAGAAATAAAGTGGATACACTTTCGAATCTAGTCAGAGGAAAAGATTAAAATGAACACAACAAATTGTTCTCATTCAGAGTAAATAACTGTGCACAAAATGCTGTCCATGTAATCATCAACCAAATTTTCTGCTACAATAGTGAGCTATGACTCTTCAAGTCGATAATGAATTGTTGACTTGGTATTTTATTTGTAATCTAAGATAATGTGACTTCAAGACAAGCCTTATATTACATAATTATATAATTAATTACACATACATTAACCTGTTTTTTTTTTTTTTTTTGTTGTTGTTGTTGTTGTTGTAGGTCTCCCGAAGTGTCATGAAGGAATGGTGGAAATATTTTTATTTATATTATGGGAGAGATCAGCAGCATCCTTAACAAAACTCACATAAACAAATTACATATTCTTGTGCTTCTCATGAGGGAATGATCTTGATTTACTTGAAAAGTTTATTCAGAGCCTCTTTCACATCCTTATTCCTCAGGCTGTAGATCAAGGGATTCAACATGGGGAAAACCACTGTGTAAAATGTTGAAACAATTTTGTCTGTCTCTAAAGAACAGCTTGTGCGGGGTCGAGAGTAGGTGTAGAGGATGGAGCCATAGTACAAGGTCACAGAGATGAGGTGGGAGGAACAGGTGGAGAAGGCCTTGAGGCGGCCCTGTGTGGTTCGAATTCTCAGGATGGTGGCAATTATGAAGAGGTAGGAGGCCAGGATTAGGGCAACGGGCATCATGACGTTGGAGGTCAGGAGGAAGTACATCAATGCCTGGTATCCTTCCTTGCCACCACAAGCCAGTTTTACCAAGGGAAGCAAGTCACAGAAAAAGTCATCAATAATGTTGTCGTTGCAAAAGTCAAAGGTAAAAGTTTTTTTGGTTATGATGGAAGAGTTAATAAAGCCACCCATATAAGAGGCTGCTACAAAGAATGCACATAATTTTATGGACATGGCCTGAGAATAAAGCAGTGGCTTTGAGATGGCCATATAGCGGTCATAAGCCATAGCAGCCAGCAGATAGCACTCACTATAGTCCAGTCCAGCAGAGAAGAAGAACTGAGCCACACAGCCAGCAAAGGAGATGCTCTTGTCTTCAGAGATGCATATCACTAGGATCTTTGGAGTGTAGACAGTGGACAACCAGAGATCAAGAAAAGATAGGTTTCCAATGAAGAAATACATGGGTGTGTGGAGCCGGGAGTCATTGCAGATCAACAAGATGAGTGTGCTGTTTCCTGCCACAGTCAGTGTGTACATGATGAGAAACATCACAAACAGGACCAGCTGCTTGACAGGGTGAGAAGTGAAGCCCAAGAGGATGAACTCAGTAACTGTATGGTTCCCCCTCTCCATTGATGTAAAGATTCTCACCTCAGACGGCAGAAGTGGAGAGTTGTTTTCTAACAATTGTTCTGAAGAAAGAAAGAAAGAAAGAAAGAAAGAAAGAAAGAAAGAAAGAAAG